TGCCCTGCCCTGCCCACAGCATCCCTGCAGCCATGGGGGAATCACTGCCCTGCCCTGCCCTGCCCTGCTCCTGCCTTCCTTAGCAGACACCTGTCTTTCAAGCCGAGACAGATTTAAAGACTCTGTATTAGATCTTTCAGTATACAGGGATTGAAATTTCCAGCCTATGGGTTACACTGCAGTGTTGCAATAGGACATCTTTCTCTTCCTATGATTTTTCTCTGTTGCCTTCTCAGATTCTGGACAGTTCTGTAAATTCCCTATATTGACAGTTTGCTATCATCCTTGGTTTTTTTCTTCCATTTCTTACATTCTTAGATTTCGAGGTGTTGGAATTGGATGGTTGGCAGGTCTCCAAGTGAGAGGGATAAAAAGGTCTTAAATTACCAGCGCCACTCATTCTTTCCATATATGCTGTATGGACCTCTTTCTTCTAAGTAAATGTTTTCTTTCCATAGCAGTTACATAGGGAAATCTTTTCACATTCAAAGTGATATTTCTTGGGCAGTGACAAAGCAAGGGAGAGACCAATATCCCACATACACTTGCCCAGAAGAAAAAGTTCATTTTCTGTCTAATGTCCTTCCCATATTAATTAATACCTTGTTTATATTAATTGAACAAATTCTAAATAGAAAGAAAGTTGATTCCTAGTTCTGCAAAGGCTCAAACCAAATGTAAAACAGGTTATTTGAACTTAGAAGAGAACTGAATGTCAGTTTTCTGCATAATTCTGAAAATTGTATAACTACCAGACTGCTGGCTGAGGGGAGGATAGGAATCTCTGCCTGACCAAGTGGAAAAAAAATCAGAAATCCTTAAACCTCTAGTGAAAATTTTTAATTCTTTATGTCTAAACATCTGTTTCTAAGAATTTGTGTGCTGTTTTCCAAAGATGTTTTCATTCAAGACACTTCTGCAGATTTGAGCTGAGATGTGGTAAATTATGGCAATATACAAATGCACACAGGTAGGAAAACAGACTTTTGATTGGCAAACAGTCAAGTGAAGTGATTATTCACTATTTGGATCTAAACTAGATTCTCTTTAAGAATAATATATTTCCATAATTATGTACAAAAATTAAATATTAAGTGGTCAGATGTTTCACAATTGAAATGGGTATGAATTGAATATAACACCCAAGATTTCTTTAAAACTGTATTCATAGCTACAAAATAAAAAGAGAGTATCCACTTTATTAATATTATATAGGGGATAGCACCATGTTTTTATTTGATTTACTGCTTCCTGATGTAATAAATATTGACGAGCACAGCAAAGTACAGGTTTAAGTAAGAATTGCAGGGTTGTGTCATGCCAGCAGTGCCTAGTGTACAGTTAATAGGAAAGCAGAAGGTAATATAAATTGTTTCTGACATTATGGGACTATAATAACACTACATTTCCAACACAACTCCATAGCTCTTAGAATTAGATGTATGCTGGAGATACCATAAACCCAAGAAATATGAAGATATTTGTCCATACTGACCATTTCCACATTTGTGTCTTAGTTGTGCAATTGTAACAAATATGTTATTACTGTTACAGTCCATGTACAGTTCTCATAAAAGTTGCTGGATTAATTTGCTTCTGCCACCTAAAGTTGAAATAGATTCCAGTAGTGGAGTAATGACTTTTATTTATGAAAAAATTTCCTCTTTGACCCTGTTTCTATACAAATCTTGATCATCCTTCCATGTACTAGAACATATTCCTATGTACCAGACACAATTATTCTGCCAGGATGTATCTGGTACAATCTTAGCTCCAATGATAGGGGTAATAAACCTACTACACATCTCTGTGGTTTTAGGATTTCACCTGTTAACTGTTCTTTGGAAAAACAAATAACAACAAATCAATGATTCAAGTAGTCTCTGAACCTGCCTCTAAAGCTAGCCAGCAAAAAGTAACTTTCAGAGAACTTTAGACATACTAGAAACACTCATAATGAATAAGAGTAGTAGGTCTTTCTTGAGACAGCAAGGAACAGCTTTTTGCAATGAATTCTGAGTATTAATCCCTACAGTGTTTTACTAGATAGTCTAATGCGTTTACTCTGCTAATTCACATAAAATTTCCAACTTTTAAAAACAATTATTTTGGCAAGAATATTGTGTAGAAGACAGCTTTATAGATTAGCTGTAAACCGCACAGCAGAATATTTGTTAAAGTGTCTCTCGTCTGCAGCTTTCTAATTTCATTTTATGTCTCTGTTATTGCCTAGTAATGAAAGGTAAACAGGAGAGCTTCAATAATTTGTTCTATGGCTACTCATAATCAGATCTTAACTAGATGTCCTTTTGACCTATTTTCCAAAATGAAGCTGTAACGTCTGTATTAATTTTCCCTTTTGACACTGTACTTTCCCCTTGACTCCTTCTATCTGTAGTTTCATCTTGTCCCTGAATCCCTTTTCATCTTCACTTCTGTGTCTCCCCACTATCACTCTATCTGTTAACTGTCTATTGTAGAATTAATCATTTAGCTAATCAAAATGCTGACATTGACATAAAGTTTGGTTAGTTGTTTGTCCTTTGCTTTTATGAAGAAATAACTGGTTAAAAGCAAGCAAACAAAAATGTTGTAAGACAAATTTGATAATACATTTATTAGCAATTATGATATTATTTGGTTCACACTGGGAGAAACACAATATTTGTTAGAATCTCTTTGCCTGAGCTTCTCTCTTGCAATTAGAAACAGGAATGACAAAAGTAATAAAGTCTGCTTAGTACAGTTAGAGTGAAACTTCAACAACAGAATTCTGCTGTAGATTCTGCCATGACTTTATGCTAACACTATGGGTTTAGCCTCATAACATCAAGAAGCACAGTGAGAATGCTGTGTCTCAAATTCCATAACATTTTTCTAATCCACTATTAGACATTACAATGAAAACACAATAGCTAATTATAAATCATTACCTTCTTCTGCTCAGGCAGATACTCTATATCCCCAGTGTCCCAGAATGCCATAAATCATCTAAACATGAAGCTTGATTATCCTGAAAAATCTTGGTTGTATTTAGTAAGGGAAGTTTGGGAAAGCATCTGGTATGGCCTCAGTTACCATGGAACTCATTAATTCAAGTCACTGAGCATCCCTAGCAAAGTATATAAAATATTTCCATGGCACTGATATCCACATAAAGGCAAGTAATGTACCATTTTGTCCCAGGACACACTGCGTTCACTGTAAGAAAGATAAACTGGGATGAGGTCTCTGGATTTCTCCAAAATCCATATGGAATGGCTGTTGTGCCATTTGTACCTGCTAATCATGTCATAAGGCTAACTGCATAAGCAAAAAAGCAAACTGCATATTCCAAATGCTAATGAGAATAATAAATACAACATGTAAGGGGCTTCAGAAGGAAGATTGTGGGTGATAATGAAAATTTGTCTCTCAGCACAGATATATTTTTGATCACCACAAGATTGTCCATTTGGATTAGACTGTGAAGCACCATTTTATTGGACACAAGGTACCCACCCTGCTGGCAGTGTGTGAAACAGACTGACACATGCCACATTCATTCACAGCTATTTTATCTCCTCCTTTGTTCTAACATCTATAATGTTATGCATAATTTCTTTCATAATTTTTTCAGTGCACCATCAGCTGTCAGTGTGGCAGGTGGCCGTCAGCCTGCAATACATAGCTGCAGAGATGGAGAGAACTTTTCAAGAGCAAGTGAACAGGGAGAATGCAAGGCCATTAGCAAAGCACACCAAAAAAAAAAAAAAAAAAAAAAAAAAAAAAAAAAAAAAAAAAAAAAAAAAAAAAAAAAAAAAAAAAAAAAAAGGAGAGCAGGACTTTGTAGAGAATACATCAGAAATAGGCTGGAGGTGTATAGGTGAGTAGGAAAGGTGAGTAGTTTGGAACAAGACAGAGAAATTATTTGCTAAGAGGAACGTGCTTCTGACAACTGTTCTTAATGTCTAAACTTCCTGTACCTGTCTGCAGCTTTCAGATCTGCTGTCCTTACCAAAAGACATTTGTGAGCAGAGTGTTCTACAGCAAAACCAGCTGCTGCTCAAGATGCTAATTCTGGGTCTGAAACTTCCTGGTTAGGTGAGCTGGGCTAGTAGCTCTCCCTGATTTTTAAATTTTTATATCATAAAAGAAGAACATAATGCCTCATGGGGATACTTACAAGAATTCATAGGTAATATGTACTAAGGGCTTTGAGCTTGAGGAGTGCTACAGATATAATCATGGACCTTATACCCCACCTGTCCACACAGAAAACCATTTCTTTAAAAAGAGAGATAACGTGACAACTGCCATCTCAATCTAAATAGGGAACATTACCATCCACCCTGCACCCTGATCCCTACCCCTGCCTGAACTGGAACAGTCTCCATCTTCTGGGAATGATTCTCATAAAGGAACACAGCATGAAGCAACCAATGCAAGCACCTTGGAGTGAGCAGGTGTCACACATGTCACTAAAATCATGTATTACACTCCTGCATCATAACTGTGGTGCCCAGCTCTTCATCTCTACCTCTGGCTTCCTTCAGAAGTAATGGTTTGAATCTCTGATGTTGTTCATCAGCATTTGTGCAGTAATCTGCAGCAATCTTCAATCTTACACTTTGACTGCTTATGTGATGCTGCAGCCAGTGGCCCTGGTTGATTATTTTACAAATGCAAAGCCAACTGCATTTAATATTAACTGAACATCAACCCAAATCATGCCACAGTCTAAGATTAAGATTAAAAAATGAAGTAGAGCAGCACCAACATAAAGTGACCTCCTGAAATCAGAGGAAAAGCAAGTATTAAGGGAAGAACAGTCTTTGCTAGGCCTATGAGATGGACAACTCCACCTTGTATTGCTTTTCTGTCTCCATTTTGTGCAATTTTGTGAGCCCCAAAGCAGCAAAAAGAAAAGCACTGTAGGAACTATACAGCGAAGTGTAAGGAGATGGATGAAAGACCACAGGGAACCTGACTCAGGCAGACACACAGCAGATCCCTGTGATACGAAGGCCAGGGATGTCTCAGGGCTGGTGCTCAAGGCACACGGGATGTCCACGTCCGCCACCCATTCCCCTGCTCCCCTGTGACCACCAGGTCAGCCCTGCCCTGTGCTCAGTGCTGGGGCAGCTCATCAGCTGACACACGTGTTGTGTCTTTTTCCAGCATCAAGGATGAAACGAAGAGACTTTATTTGAGTTCCTTCATTTAGAGGAGGTTGGGAAGGACCTAACGTTCCCTCGTGTGGGATTCAACTCTTCTTGTCTTTCTTCACTTCACAGCGCTGTGGGCGGATGATGCTTCCCTGCTGATGCGCTGGCACTGGATGGGGGGAAGTGGGGCGCAGGGCCGGCAGCCCCTTCGGGAGAGCGCACGGTCCCTCGGCATCCCTCCCTCGGCAGCCGCTGCGCTCACGGCTGTCCGCAGCCCTCTCCCCTCAGGAGGGGCCGGCGGCGCCCGCCCGCCCCGGCCATCCCCAGGCCCGTCGCCCCCGGCCCGGGCCGCCTCTGCTGCCTCCCGCCCACCAGTTCTGGGCGCCGCTGCGCCCGGCGGGCACGGCCCGGGCAGCGGCACGGGCAGGGCGCGGACAGCCGCCCATCACCGCCGGCCTCCTCCGCCGGCCCCGGCTCGGCTCGGCTCGGCTCCCCGCCCCTCCTCCCTCTGCCCGCTCCCTCCCCCGCCGCCCACAGGCGCACGCACCGCTCCTCTCTCACAGACACACACACACACCGAGCCGATGCAGCTTTAAAGGGGCAGCTGCAGCCCGGGGGCCGCCCCACGTGAGGCCGGAGCGCTCCCGCCGAGCGCAGCCCGAGCGCGGAGCCGCGGCCGGAGCCGCCGGGGCTGGGCGGACGGGCCGAGCGGAGCGGAGCGGAGCCGAGCGGCTGCCAGCCCGCCTCACGCCAAGTTTGATCGATAACCCCCTCCCGGCCCGGCGGAGCAGCCTCGGCGGCTCCGCTACCCACCATCTTTGGGGGAAGTCCCTGCGTTGGGGGGGGGCTGCTGGCGACGGGGGAGAAAGGCAATCTCGCAGCCAATGAGCCCTGCTAGACTGGGGTGAAGACGAGAGCAGAGGGATTTGGGGAAGGAAAGAATAAAAAAAAGAGACGAAAGGAGCGGGACCATCCTCCCCACCACCTCCGCCAGCATCGCCACCGCCGCTGACGCCTCTCCGAGTCTCCAGTTGCGCCCATGCCTGTGCCGCCAGTTTCGGTTTAGGGGCTGAACCGCAGGGGCTGAAGAAAATGGGGCAGAGCGCGCCCCGGACCCTCCTGCTGCTGCTGGCGGGGCTGCTGGGGGAGGCTCTGGCGGGGTTCCCCAGCACCATCAGTATAGGTAAGCGCCCGCCGCGGCACCGCGACCCGCGCCTTCCTGCCAGCCGGGGGGAAGTTGTGTGGAGGGCAGCGGGGGGCGAGCCCGGGCACGGCGGGGAAGGAGCCAGCCCCGCTCCGCTCCCTTCCCTCTCTGGGGGCGAGAGGCAGCGGCGGTGCCCGGGCTGCGCCGGCGGGCGGCTGCGAGCGGCGCCGGGCTGCCCGCACCCCTGCGAGCGGCGGGGATCGGGTCCGCGCTCTGCGGAGCCCTGCCCTGGAGCAGCGCACCCCGTGCAGCACAAAATGCGAGGGGGTCGTGGCGTGAATCTGTAGCGACGTGCCCGAAAGCCGGGGCCGAGCGAGCCGTGAGGCTCGGGGCAGCGGGTGAAGCCGGGGCTGTTCCTGCCGTCCCTCGGAGCATCATTTCCCTCGGCCGCGCTACCGCTCCAGCAGACCGTGAAACCGCACGTTTGCCACGCCGCACGCCGCCGTGTCCCCCACATAACTACAGTGGCGATGTTTCGGTAGCCTGGACAGGATTTAGGAGCCACGGTTCCCCAAGTTAGACTTTTAAATCTCTGTGTGGGCATCCGTGTAGAAGTGGCCTGGTTTTCAAGGTGCACCTGCAGCTCCAAGCGACTCTCATTGCTGAGGGGGCACCTGGATGTGGTGTGTGGCTTCAAAACCCTAACTTTGGACTTGGAATATGTATTTCATGTAGGTGCTCTGTCAGTTATGTGCTCACGTTCAGGCTGCTCCTGTTCATTCTCTCCTGCAGTGTGCAGCAGGCAAATACAACTTATTGCCATTGTTTCTCCTCAAAATTAATTCTGAAATACCTTTTTCCTTTTTTCCTTTTTTTTTTCCTCCTCACTTAGGTGGACTTTTCATGAGGAACACTGTTCAGGAGCACAGTGCATTTCGATTTGCTGTGCAGCTATACAACACAAACCAAAATACCACAGAAAAGCCCTTCCATTTGAACTATCACGTAGATCACTTGGACTCTTCCAACAGTTTTTCAGTGACAAATGCTTGTAAGTAAATACCTGGTTTTTAAAAATATATTAATTTGTTATCTATCTTACATTCAGTTCCTGGTAGCCTAGAGTTCTTGGTCATACAATACAGTGCAACAAATGTGTATAGTGACTGGAGGTTTAGTAGATTTGCAGCATTATGTTGAATACCTTAGGAAAAGTTCTCTTACCACTTCATCCCCTTAGTTTGGTTTTTCAGGAAAACAACCATGTTGTTGATACAGCAGTGCTGTGTGGCTGCAATCAGTGAATTGCTGCTGAAGTAAGATCCCTTTTCCGTTGAGTCTACAACCTAGCTGTATGAAAAGGCATAATTTGCAAATAATACACTATGTAGGGAAAAACCAGAAACCACTGTTTAGAAGTGACCTTGAGAGAGCAGGCTAAAGGGGCTTATTTGCCTCATCTGCCTTGAAATACTGAGTTGTTTTCTTACAGTGAGAGTCCTGTGAAAAGCTGAGGAGACTGTAAACTGACACATAATGTTAGAGCTGAGGAGAGAGAAAATGGAATCAGAACACTTGGATGCTAGGAGAAATAGCTCTGCACAAGCAGTGCACTTGTAGAATTTGAGCTTTTATTAACAGAAGATGCAAAATAAAACTTTGAGTATTTAAATGTGGTATTTAAATGCAAAATCTCTGTCAGAAAGACTTGTGCGTGTTCTGCATTTTAAGAAGCATTCCTTTACCAATAGTAGTTCCTGGATATTTGTTTTACTGATGTATCCAAATTCGATTCTGTGCAAGTTTTATTGTAAATCTTTGGAAATGAAAGGAGTCCTCTTTCAGGGTAACTAATGCACTTTGCAATGTGGAGATATATGTCTGCACATGATCTAATGGACTGCTGAATGCAATGTACTAACTTCACATTATGAACAGGTTTCCTCTCACAGTTTGCAGGTTTATACTCAGTGTAAAATGGTCAAAGAGGAAGCATTGTACTTAAATAATGAAGTACTGGAGTACAGAAAACTAGTCTTTTTTGCTTTAAAACAATTCTGTGTTTTGAATAACTTATTTATTTTTTTATTTGCAGGAGATAGGATAGTTCTTATATTCCTGTCCCACTGTATATTTTGAGAAAGTTGGTGGTTAAAAAATATACAGTAAGGAAACATTTGGACAAATTTTGGATTGATATTCTAATATATCCCCCATGTGACTGCTTCTTGGTAGTGCAGTGTTACACTCTCCAAAGGACTTTGAAGTAGGACCTTTAAAACTTCTGCAGAGGGGTTAGTTATGTAATATACAATAAAAATACTTGGTAAAGTGAGAAAAAATGGTAAATAAAAGCATGTCTCTACTTTGCATCTTATTTTGCTAATCCTATCCAGCTTCAACAGCTCTTACAACAAACATCAGACTATTAATCCTTAATCAGTGTAATCCCTT